TTCCCTTTTCAGGTCTTGGACTGTTTCCTTTATTTGTTTCATTGCTTTTTCATGATTTTCTTTTAGTACTTTATTGTTTTCTTTCATACTTTATTGTTTTCTTCTAGGACTTTATTGTTTTCTTCCAGGACTTTATTGTTTTCTTCTAATTTGTTTGCTCTTTCCTCTAGTTGTTTATAGCATTCTTCCCATTTTTTTTGTCTTTTCCTCTGCACAAGCCTCTATTTTCTTCATGATGTTATTCATAAGGCTGTTTTCTTCTGCTTCTTCCAATTTTTGATGTTCAGGTCTAGATGTTGGAGGCAGGCTAGGTTCTGGTGATGCTGTGTTGCTCTTCATTTTGTTGTATGTACTTCTGCCTTGACATCTGCCCATCTTCTTGTGGTTCGTTCTTGGTCTTATCAGCGCACTTGATTCAGACAGAGCTGACAGATTCAGGAAGTCTCTCTCTCTTGTCCAGATGGGAGCTCTCTTGTCCAAATGGGAACTCCAGGGCAGGATTGGAGCTCTTGTTCAGACAGGAAGTCCAGGGCAGGATTGGTGCTCTTGTCCAGAAGGGAAGTCCCGGCTAGGGTGGGCGCTCTGGCTTGTCCAGACGAGAAGTCAGGGGCAGGATGGGAGCTCTTGTCCAGAAGGGAAGTCTGGGGCAGGATGGGAGCCCTCTCTGGTCCAGAAGGGAAGTCTGGGGCAGGATGGGAGCTGGGGCCGGTTTCTAATTCTCAAGAAGTGGCTGGGGTCTTGGGCAGATGGGTGTGAGGGCAGGGCGTGGAGCTTGCAGGGTCTGCCGGGGGTCTTGGAGAAGGGGATCCTTCCCAGTTGGGCTAGAAGGGAGCCTGCCTGGTGGCCAGAACCTGGGGCCAAGTTGGGGAGGTCTTCCCTGGAGTGGCTGGTGCCCAGGGATGGGGTCTGGGCAGAGCCAGGACACTTACCTCTGGTCCAGAAGGGAAGTCCGGGGCAAGATGGGAGATTTTTAAGAGACAAAGAGCTATAAACTCCTAGGAATGTTTTGCCTCCTCAGGGTCAAGCCCAGGGACAGTGGCAAAGGGAGAGAATGGATTCAGTGCCTATCCTGAAGGGTGCAGTGGTGGCCTACAAGAAGAAGCAACTGGTCATTGAGAATAATACATGTGGTGAGCAGACTTGGGGGTAAGGTGGGGGTGGGATGTCTAGAGACCTGAATCTCCTCTTCTCTCCTGATTGTAGACCAGGAAGAATACTTTTTACTGTACAAGTCACATGTGCCACCATCCTTAGCCACCCCTAAAATGGCCAAGCTCAAATACCAGTAGCTGTAGGAAGAGATCCATCTTGGGGTGCTTAAATGGAGATATCTTGAGCTGGATAAAGTCCAAGACCAATCCCAGCCATCTATAGTTATTCATTTCTAGCGAGTGAAGGTTCTGCAACTCTCAGAAGCTCAGCAGGGAATCCACAGACCCAACACATGATCTTTAATCCCATATTAACTTTGCATAAAATAATAGGAGCACAACACAAATGAAAATGTACATAGAAAAGGCTTAAACAACATAGCATAGGAGTTTTTCCTTGACTCTCACCTTGAAACATACACATACAGACACAGACATATGTACACACACACACACACACACACACACACACACACACCACAATACATGTATGCATCCATGCAATCATACCCTTCCCCCATGGGTTCAGACTCTGCCCTGGGGCAGAGATGTCTGAATTAGGAATGGATATATGTGTTATGTGAGTGCCAGAACATAAGTAGGTTTCAGAGCTCCAAGGTCCTCCTC